CCTGCCCCAGAGTGCCTCCCACCCCCTCTACACACAGTGGGGTGCATTAAGTATTTGTTGTCAGGCACCCGCATCCCCAAATTCGATTTTGAGGGTTATAGATTCCTGTCCTGTGCCCCTAAACACACAACACACACACACACACACACACACATATACACACACTACTTAAGCACAGGGCAAGGCACACGCAGGCACACCTGACAGGCACTGTGTCCCCCAAGGCACAGGTGTGTAGAGTCACCAGCGTGCATAGAACTCACAGACAACCCCACGTGTGCATACTGGGCATGCCGTCCAGGCACAAGGTACTTGGGGACACACGACCACAAACATACCCAGCTGCCTGTGCTTGTCATACCCTTGTGCCCTCCAGAGCATGCATGCAGCACAGTGCAGGGCCGCCCACCACACGCCCAGAAGCACATCTGGGGGTGCATGCTCATATCTCACAAACTGGAACGGAGGCACATGGTAGGGAGGAGTGTGTGTGCCTTCCTAACACACCCACAGTACCACCCATCACACAGGTTTGCACACACCTGTTTAGTTGCACAATAGTGTGCCATAACTCCGCCCCAGGACATTTCTTGTGCAGGTGCAGTGTGCCAGGCTCTGAGACTTTCACCTTCCTGTGTTCCAAAGGCACAGAAAATTGAGGCACAGAGAGGCAAAGTATTTTGCCCAAGGTTGCCCAGCTATAAAGAGGCAGCATTCAGAATTAGGGACAGGCAGGCTGGATCCAAAGTCTTCATTTGTCCTCTATGTGCACTACAGGGCACCATAGTTGCATATCTTCACTTATCACAAATAGTCCTGCACAGCCATGTACTCAGAGCTCATGTACACACAGTCAGCTGTGTTCATTCGTGCCCAGGATGCACTCAGAAAGAGTGAACTCCACAGGGCAGCCCAGACTTCTACCTTACTCCAGCTCCAATGGCACCACCTTGGTCACCAGTAAACACAGGCACCTACAGTGGAGAGTTCTAGTCAGCCCTTCAGTTTGCCTCCAGCTGCAGGCTCTCCAGGGCTCCTGGGATGAGCTGGAGTGGGTGCCAGCCTAGCCAAGGGAGGCCCCTATCCGGATGCACACCCACCCGCCAGGTGGTGAGCAGCTGGGCCCAGGGGAAACAGCTGCTCTTTTGGGCACCAGCAGTGAGAAGCGGTGCCCCCTCTACAGCCTACAAGGCTTTTCTGGACCTATACATTACCTCTTGAGGTCTCAAGGCCTAGTGAGGGGTTTCTGGGCCCAGATGCGCACTGGAGAGACCCAGGTTCCAAAGCAGTGAGCAGCCTGCCCAAGGTCACGCTGCCCTCGGGTACCAGCTTTCTTGGAAAATGGAAAGCTGGATGTGTTGATTTCCAAGGCCCCTCCTGGGGCTCCCAGGAGCCGAGGGCAGATGCCCTGCTCTTTGTAGGAGCCAGAAGTCTTGGCCAGCTGCCACCAGGCTGGTGACCTCCAGAGGGCTGTGCTATTTCCCCTCTCAGAGCCTCCATTTCCTTTTTTGAAGCACGGACCCCTTGATTCCTGGCTCATGAGCTCCATGCTTGTTGGTACAACCAGCCAGCCTGAAGCTGGAAAAGCCCTGCATGACTCACAGGGCTGGCACAGGGTAGCCATGGCATGGCCTCTGTTCCCCTTGCCTCTGAGCCTCTCTCCCACTGTCCTCACTGCCTCCACCCAAGCTGCAGCCACCACACTGGGAACTCAGGATGCATGCTAAACACCAGCCAAGCCCCAGGCCTTTGACCAAGCTCTGCCACACCAGGAACAGCTATCTCCTTACTCAGCAGGAGTCAACACCTACTATGTGCTAGGGAAGCTCAGGGGAAACAGCGTGTACAAGAATCCCTGCTTTCATTAGCAGGAGGCATATGTGTTAACTGATAAGATCATGCCAAGTGAGTACACCAAATTGATAAGGAGAGGCACTTTATAAAGCAATTTATGGACCTGAAGCTTTCAGAGAAGGCTTCTTGAAGCTGAGACCCCAATAATGAGGGAGAGCTGAAGGAAGAACCTTCTAGAAGGAGGGAAAGGCGAGTGCAAAGGATGAGGTGGGGCAGAGCAAGGAGCCAGCAAGGCTGGAGCCATGGGGGCAGGGGCAGTGGGGGCGATGAGGTTGCAGACTTGCAAACCTGCAAGGGCTCCTCTTTCCCAGCCCCCAGCCAAGGCAGGCTATGCTGAGGACTAAGGCTCGGGTTTGGCTTCCCTCCTGCTTATGATGGGAAGGTGGGGGAGCAGGGGAGTGGGGAATGATGTGATCTGATTTATGGTTTGGAAGGATTGCTCTGGCTGCGGCAAGCAGCCGGGATTGGAGGGGCTTGGGAGGAAGGAGGGGGAGGGCAGGGAGGAGGTGACTGCAGTGGTCCAGGCTGGGTTGAGACAGCTTGCCGAATGCTCAGAGCTCTCTCTGCACCCAGCCCAGCATCTGTCTATTCTACCACCTGGAGCAAACTTCTCTGACCACTAGCCCCCAGTCTCCACCCTCTGCCCAGCCTCTTACCCTGGGGACTTCTCTGTCTGCTTGACTGTGAGCAGCTCAGCATATGCAGTCTCCAGCATAGCCCTGCCCAGTGCTTGGCCTGCAGGAGGCTTCCAGTAAAATGTAGGCACTGAATCCAGGAACCCCATCTGGGGCTGCACACACAACCATAGCATGCTTTTCACACATGTCCCCACAGGCACTCATCCTCTCACACCCACTTGCATCACTAGGCAAGGGCTGGGAGGCCAAGGGTGGGCCATCCAGGGTGCAGGAGGTGCCCCAGAGCCTGAGAGTGGTGGAAAAGTCTCTTCCATCAGGGTGTGTGGGCGATGGTGGCTGCAGGGTAATAACAACCTTAGTGAGTCCCAGAGTTCTCCCCCCTCCTCAGGAATGGCCAGGAGGGGGAGAAAGGAATAAGGCTGAAGCCCCAGCAGCCCACTCCTGCCAGCCTGGTCCTGAGGGGTTCCTTTCCAAGACCAGGGCCTGCCATCCCCAGGATCCCTTGGAAAGCCAGCTCCATCCTCTTCCTGACCATCTGAGCTCTTGGCCAGGCAGAAGGAAAGAACAGGGCGGAAGCAAGCTCTGTGGAAAGAGGGGGGTGTAGGGAGACCCAAGGCGGGATCAAGGCTTTGGAACGTTGGAGGTTTCCGGCCACAGAGGCAGGACCTCTGGGGAGCCAAGAGGGCGGGGAGACACACACAGAGGGGCGGAGGAGACCAACGGACAGAGACAGGAGCAGGAGGGGAGGCACAAGAAAGAGGCTGGCAAAAGCGGGAACCAGGGGCTAGTGATCTGCACACAGGACAGGAGCATTCACCAGTCTCCAGAGACCCTAGCCCTACACCAGACACCCTGACATCTGCAACCTTGGGTGCTGAGAGCCCAGCCTGATGCAGGCAGCTTGGCTCTTTGGGGCCCTGGTGGTCCCCCAACTCTTAGGATTTGGCTACGGAGCTCGGGGAGTCCAGAGGGAATGGGAGGGAGGCTGGGGAGGTGCCCTGGAGGAGGAACGGGAGAGGGAGGCCCTGATGCTGAAGGTGAGCTGTGGAGTTTTGGGGAACTGTGGGCTTGGGAGGGGATATTCCAAGGTTAGGGGAATGGTTAAGGGGGAGTCATGAGGATAGACTCAGAGGATGGGGGTGATGGGTTCAGAGAAAGGCTTCAGGCTCAGAGCATGAGCTGAGCTGGAGAGGGGACAATGGGGCATCAGGAGTGGCAAGCTGGGGCTGACCATCCCTCCCCTACCCCAGCATTTGCAGGAGGCTCTGGGGCTGCCAGCTGTGGGGGTGGATGAGAATCTTGCTGTTACTCCTGAAGGCAAACTGGCCTGGGAGAATCAAGAGGATCAGGGAGAGGAAGAGGAGGAGGAAGCAACACCAACCCCTTCCATCATCCCCAGTCCCTCTCCCACCCATGAGGACACCATCACTTATATCTGTGAGTAAGCAGAACCTGGGGTGGCCTTCAACCGCCCAACGGCCAACCCAAAACCCCCAAAACCCAAGGGGCCCCCCCCCAAAACCCCCCCCCAAAAACCCAAGCCAACGAACCAAAAACTCCAAAAACTCCAAAAACCCAAAGGTCCCCCCCCAACCCTTGCCCTGTCCTTCCGCAGTGGGACGCCTGGCCGGTCTGGACGCAAGCCTGCACCAGTTGCACGTCCGTCTGCACGCGTTGGACACCCGCGTGGTCCAGCTGACCCAAGGGCTGCGGCAGCTGCGGGAAGCAGCGGGTGACACCCGCGACGCGGTACAAGTCCTGCAGGAGGCGCAGGGCCGAGCGGAGCGGGAGCACGGCCGCTTGGAGGGTAAGTCCCCACCACACATAGAAGGGAAAATGGGACGATCCGGACCAGGTTGGGCACTGGTGGGAGAAGGGGCCCTGAGAGGCATAAAGAGTTGGGGACCCTGGATGTCTTGGGCGAGAGTGTCCCGAGAGAATTGTGGTGTGTTGGTGCCCAGGAGGTTCGAGTAACTGGGATGGGCCATGCGCAAGACACTCCTCCCCTCGCAACTGTGCTGACCAACTCGGGCCGCGCCACGCCCCCTAAAGTCCCGCCCCAGCAGACTGGCCCCACCCCCAGCAGTCCTGGTGGTCGGCCTTGTAGCTCGCCGGGGTTCTGACCCCGCCTCCTCCCGCACAGACCCTGGTCCCGCCCCGAACGCTCTGACCCCGCCTTCCCTCCCCGCCCCGCCCACAGGCTGTCTAAAGGGGCTGCGCCTGGGCCACAAGTGTTTCCTGCTCTCGCGCGACTTCGAGGTGCAAGCGGCGGCGCAGGCGCGGTGCGTGGCGCGAGGCGGTAGCCTGGCACAGCCGGCCGACCGCCAGCAGATGGAAGCGCTCACTCGCTACCTACGTGCAGCGCTCGCTCCCTACAACTGGCCGGTGTGGCTGGGCGTGCACGACCGGCGCGCCGAAGGGCTCTACCTCTTCGAAAACGGCCAGCGGGTGTCCTTCTTCGCCTGGCACCGCTCGCCCAACACCGAGCCGGGCGCTCAACCCAGCGCCGCGCCGCACCCGCTTAGTCCCGACCAGCCAAACGGCGGTGCGCTGGAGAACTGCGTGGCGCAGGCCTCGGACGACGGCTCCTGGTGGGACCACGACTGCCAGCGGCGTCTCTACTTCGTCTGCGAGTTCCCTTTCTAGCTGGCGGGTTCCCCGCCTTTCCGCTCCATCCCTTCACTGTGCACACCTCCCCCCACACACACACCAGGACGCCTTTCCTTCCCTGCGCCCCGCGGTGAAAGTGTGCCCCCATCCCCGGCTGGGCTGGGCACTCCTGGGAGGACTCTTGCGGGTTCGGGGCTCCTTCAGTGTCTGTGCCTTTTCTTGAAGCTGCGAATACCAGGCTTGGTCCGGCGCCAATAAAGCCTTGTGGAATCGAGGGACAGTGGAGGCACTTTTGACTTATCTTGCCTCGGGCGAAGCAGATTCTGGTACTTGGGTACCTTACAGACCTGCTTTTTATGGTTGACATGTGAGCCCAGTATCAATGACTGAGAACACATGTGCATGGGTGCACGATTATGTGCTTCCTTGCACATACGTCACAAGTGCACATGTACACACACTTCAAATGCCTACACCTCCATTGTGTCCCCTCTGAAGGCCTTTGGGACCCAAGTTCTATCAATCATTGCCCCAGACCCTGGCCTTGGTCCTGGTCAGAGATCTGGGAAACACGAAGGTGCTAAAGGATCTGGCAGGTCCTACTGGAAAGAACCCATTTAATTTTATTTAGTGTTAATTAGTGTGTCTCAAGCTCATTTTTTCCAGATGGTACCATTTCATCAAGCCCTGATCTGAAAGGAGAGACACCTCCTACTATTTTTCCCTCTCCCAAACTCCTGGGCTCTGTGTTCAGACACAAATTAACAACCTTCCCTGCCAGGAAGCTCAGGTTCCTTCCCAATGCTGCTGCCTCTACTTCCTGGCCAATGAAAGGATGAGTCAGGCCCTTCCTGTCTGAACCTCAATTTTTGTATCTGAACATGGGTACCATCTCCCTTACTTTGTATGGCTCTTGTGATGTTCAGGTGAGGCTGGGAAAATGCGTGTTTGGGAAGAGGTTGAACATAAAGCCACACACTACCTTCCTCCCTTGCCGTTTTTCATAATTTTATTCCCTGGGAGCAGTGAAAATACCCAGGAGTTGGCCAGCCTGGGCCTCAGCATTTTTACCACTTTATTTCAGGGAGGAGCTCATGGCATTATCCCAACGCTACTGCCAGTGTTGGCATCATGGGCCTGACCCTGACATTATTGTGGAGTCCAGGAATAGGGATGTGACCCCGGCTGCCATTACATCTTTGCTCTTGACCTTCCTTCCACCATAGCACCACATGCCTAAAATGTCATCATTGGATCTACTGTGGTGGGGGTGGGAGACAAGCCACTCCTGTCATCTCTAGCAGAGTAGAGCACTTCCTCTTGCCCATTGTGGAGTTATTTTTCAGCTACAGGACCGCACAGGAAGTACAGAAAATGGAGGTGGGAATGGCCTATGGTCAGGAGGGCTTCAATTGGTGGGGACAGACATGGCTCGAAAGTCTTTCCACTCTAAGCAGCTTCCCAGGATTAGAGGGACAGACAGCAGGATACTTACAGTAAACCAGGACAGATCAGGCCACAATGACGAGTATGTGCCATTTCCAGAGGGGTCACCACGGGACACGGTTGAGACTATACAATAGAGACCTGCCTGGATTCTGGAGCCAGATGGCCCAGGTTCTAATTCTATCTTAGCCACTTATCTACGAATTGAGTTTGAGTGAGACTTTGCTTTGCTGTGCAGGAATGGTAATAATTCCCACCTCTTCTAAAAGATTGCTGGAATACCTAGGCAATCCACTGGGTATTCCAGCCTCACCTTCACCGCTGTCTCCTGACACCTGCCTTTGCACACGCAAAAGTCCCTGTCCTCCCTTTTCTGCAGGGTGAACACCCATTTGAGAGCCAGCCTTTTCTCGATACCCCACAGTTAATGTCCCTCTTCTGTATTCCAAAACCACTGCCTGCTCACCTGACTCAGCCAGGCTTGGGGACACTGATGGCAGGGATAGGTGTGGATAGGTAGGACCAACCCTTGCCCACAGCCTCCCTGGCACATGGGAGCCCACTGAATGAAGATACAATGTGAGACTATGATGGTGAAGGTAACCCAAAAATGAGTTGGATCTGTGCAGTTTTTCCTCCCTGCCCTGCCTAGGATAAGGCAGGCACCCACTGGGTCCTGGGGACGGGGAAGGCTTTCCACATCACCAAGGTGCTACTATCTGGTCTTCCCTGACAGGTGGCCAGGGCCACCACATCAGCTCAGGGAGTGTTGTGGCATGAAGAGAGGATATGGGTGGAGAATGGTGCATATTGGCGAGGACTGTTTATGTACCAGAGCAGCGCGCGCGCGCCTACGTGGCTTTATGTGGTCAAGGGCTGGGAAACCTGCCCACTCTGCCAGGAAGTCCTCCAGGCGTCCCATGGACTACAGCTAGGAATGTTCCCTTCTCTGGCTTTTCAATTTGCGAGGCCAGAATTATGCACCAGAGGACGCCAGGGCAGCTGACTGGGACGGATGCATTAAAGGATCCCAGATTATAGTCCAGAAAGAGCACGAAGCTTGATATTACCAGAGGAGCAGGGAAAAAACAGGGGCCCTTTGGACTTTCAGGACTACGAATCCCAGGAGGCTGAGAGGTGCGTTCTCACGTCCCAGCAGTCGTCGGGAGTCTCCAGCAGCGTTCTCACAAGCCCCGCCCCTCCTTCCACGTGGGCTTGGCCTACATTTCCCAGCAAACCTGATGACCACGCCCTCATCAGTGAGGTCAGAGCTCAGCAGTCCCCAATCAGAGCTCAGACTCCCCCCCGCTCCTTGAGGTGCTTTGGGAAATGTAGTCGATTCCCTGGGCCAGCAGCAGAGTCCACTTGTGTCTGCGTCTTTCCACCCAGAGTTTTGCAAATACGGCTGGCTTTCCGTGGGGGAGATCATAAGCATTATTTAACGGTGAAATGAATTCAGTGTGCCTAGAAAATTACAAGAAATATATCTCAAAAAGTTGAAAATCGTAGTTTGTACGGAACTACCATCTCCAATACAACAAAATTTCCTTTGCCTGGGAAACGTTTGCTACATACTGGTCCACCCCAACTTAGTTACTTAAAGAAAAGAACAAAAACTTTTTTTTTTTTTAATTTGGAAATAATTTTAAATTTACACATAACCTGCACAAATACGCTTATCCAGACTTAATGCTAGTAACTGTTTATTCCTTTGCTTTAGCTCTGTCATTCTACCCACCCATCCAAGACCAGCCACCAGGGACAATGTCACCCCACTGCAATGAAGGAGACTACGCTTCAGGGAAGAGCTGTCTCCCATCCCAGCCCAGGTGTGCTAGGGCAGTGGGGCAAGTTGCAGATAGGCCAAAGAAAGTGCCTGGAGACATAATTTATTGGGAAAACTTACAAGAGATCAGAATCTGCTGCAAAATATTCAGTGGTGACATTCTGACTGAAAGCACCTCTATCCCTCATGGTGCTTTGTCAAACAGTGTCTCCTTTCCCTCAGGGTGTTTTGTCCAGTGGTGGTCAGTAGGATGAGTGACACTATCCTTTCTACAGCGCCCTTAGTTCCGCACCTGTTCCCACTCAAGAGAGGGGTGTTACGACTTAGGCTGCAGAAGCAGCAGCAGCAGCAGCATCAACTTGCTGAGTGTGCCTAGGTGAGCAGCTTCCCAGGAAGCACCTGTCCTGCTGTGCATGCAAGAAAGTAGCTTTCTACAGCCACTCTGATTCGCCCTAGTTCCCAGTGTGTGCAATCCTTCAAGATGGTTTATGTCTGGACTTTCGGGCCCAGGTTTGCTTTCGTTGTTCCCTTAACTTGGATAGGTTTTGGGGAACACAGAGGGGCATTCAGGGACCTGCTTTTTTACTGTTTCCTTTTTCTTTAGGAATGATCCAAGCTGTGCTGGAGTTTTAGGATTTAGAGGAAGAGAGGAATCTGGGTGAACGACAGTTGAAAGGATGTTTGAGAGCTATAGTTCAAAGCATCAAGTCCCAACAGTAGAGTGGACCCAGGGTCCTGTTTCCTAGGAAACTACAATGTTAATATAAATGTGGCATGTTGTGCTCAGACACCTTTATTTGAAGCTCTCCACCAGGGCTGGAAATCAGTGCTTTTCATCTGTGTCCAAATGGCTGGTGTTCCATTCTTATGTATATACTTTTAAATAGCAATAATGTTGCTGGTGGTGATAGCACAGCAGTAGTTACTCAAAAAGGGATTGCGATGACACTTTACAGGTACTGGCCCCGAACATCCCTGGATGAAATATTTCCAGTTAACGTTGCAGCTGACTTTATCTGTTTCCATAGAGGGAGGGCAGGGCAGATTTTCACAGTCCTAGCTAGTTTCCGTTTCTCACTATATAGGTGTTTTCTGAAGCATTTGAGCGCTCTCTTACGTAACTGCAGCAATCAACCTCAGTAAACACAATATTTACGCAACACTTTTGTCTGATCTCCTGGTGACATTCTAGTCTTGTCAGTTGATTGGGTGATGTGCCTCACAGCACTCACCCTCTGGTCCAGGATCCAGTCTGGAGTCTCACTGCATTAGTTCTCAGGTCTCTTCAGGGATGATCCAAGCTCCTCTCCTCTGGAACATTCCCCCATTTATGATCCTGACATTTTGGAGGAATATCCCCTCTGCCCCTCCTTTAAAAGTGAAAGTTCCTCATTTTGAGTTTGTCTGACGTTTCCTCATGATGATTGGTCTCTGCCAGGATACAGGAGGTGAAGTGTGTCCTTCTGATTTTCTCATCTGGACAGTAAAGTGTCCAACTGTCCCTTACTTTTGTCACTAGGTTTGATCGCTTGGCCAACATGATGTCCAGTTCTTCCACTGTGTAATTGCTGTTTTTTTTTTTTTTTTCTCTCCTCTGTAACTAATGAGCAGTCTGTGGACAGACACTTTAAAGACCAGGTAAAATCTGGTTCCTCATTAATTTTTCCCCTAGATTTAGCATCCATTGATGATTCTCGTGATTTCAAAACTGGAAAATGACCACATATAAGAAAAGAACTGTACACAGTTCTGTTTCTCTTACGAACGTGGATGCAAAACACTCAAATCACATAATAAATAACCTATTAAATCTAATGTTGGATCAAAATTCATCATGATCAGGTAGAATCTGGGCCTCTAATACCAAGATGGTTCAGACTTTGTAGAATGTTTCAGTGTCATTCATCATGTCAGTGGACCAGGGAGGAAAATATCATGGTTTCAATTAATGTGGAAAACCAATTTGATCAGGCTCACCACCTGTCCATGATTAAGAGCTAGAATACTTAGCAAACCAAGGAAAGAAGGGAACTTTCTTAAC